AAGTTTTAATAAATTATAATTATATATATATTATTAGTTTATTTAAAGTTTATTAAATAGTTAGTAAACTTTCCCCTATTAATAGCTTATTTTAACTATTAATCTATTACTTACTATGCCTGTACTATCTTGTGGCTTATATAGCTGGCCTAACCTGCAACCTACGCTACAGCTTATAACTGGGTCGTAATAATATTGTGACGTTATAGATGTATAGAGTAGTATACTACAAGACGAGTGTAGGTATATTATATGATCTACGTCTATAACCCCAATCAAGGAAACATGATACACAAATTATAAACGGTAATACGGCGAAGAGAGTTATAGTCCTTGGGACTCACTTACAGCGGACGTTGTAAGCTCTTAGGTGCGGCAAACAGTCACCTCCGGGGACATGTCCGACGAGTATAATTGGTCCAACTATCGCACACTAAGAAACTCAACCGGCAAAGATCCGCACATGGGGGTTATCGCAGTCCCCCGAGGCCGAAGTTGCATCGTGACGTGTCGTTGCGGAGTCGACAAGGCGGTAGCGCCGAGGTTCACGGGGACCCGCGACGTTAGAACTCCGCGGGACCGCGCCTCCAAAAAATTTGTACTGACCTTACTAGCTGCCACTAAAACATCAATGATGTCTTCCTTCTCTCCCCCACTGATTTATAGAGCCATAAGCCAGCTACTCAGTTCGGCATTTGCTGCAATTTCCCAGTAACTGTCTACCTCCAGGGGCCGATTACCCATGACGAGGTGCATTGACTTTTTAGCTGGGAGAGTTTACCCCACAGCCGGCGCCGTTCCCCGCAATGACGCCACTTCCGATCCGGACATTCGATGCACCAAGCGTCCCGATCCGACTTGACGCCAACGCACGCAGACGGGGTCCAACATTGAAGACGCATGTAGTGGTATTCACCAGTTTCGCAATGCCAGTGAGTCTGGATCTTATGCAAAACCATTTCTAAAGCATTCCTTATACTATAACCACCTACCTAGTTGGGTCTGGTAGCTATAAGGATTGCAGTACAAGTCAAAGTCTAAGGATGCGCGACAACTATTGGTCTTTTTGTCGTCGACTGCGGCGTGTCTTCCAAAGACTCGGCTAATAGACTCCCGATTCGTTGCCGAGAAATTTACTTGATGAATTAGGCATGTCATAGAAGCCCTGTTTGTACAAGTTCGTTTGCACCGTTACGACTAGGCAGTTTTGGTCCAAGTGACGACCGGCTCTCTCCATCGGCAATTGATGCCGCGTCTTCCGCACGAGTATCCAGCCTTTAAGTATTGGAATGCCATCAAGGCGACGCCTGGCATCTAATTTCCTGAGAGAAACCATCTCAAGACCACTCGCCCAACGCCGGAGGTGCTTCAATATTGGTCGAGTCTTGCATTGCCACCTTGGTCAACACCATGCGCACGTCACGCGCTGCGCTGCCAATCTTGGCCGGCATCTTTCTGGGCGGTGGGTGCCACGGCAGTCAATCAAAGTGCTCGCAGTCGACCTTGGAGGCAATCTTGGATTCGATCCCAGGCACATCGATCAATTACGTCGAAGAGGTGCCTCAAGACGGGGCTTTTGGCGATGCGGCTACCAACATCCCCTTTCCACGCAACGCCACGGGGCTCCCAGCGCTTTGCGCCGCATCATTCAACACGAAAACCCCAGGAAATACCTCGTACAACTTTGGCGTATTCCTCCCCACGAACTGGAACGGACGCTTTTTGGCCACGGGCAACGGCGGCTTTGGAGGCGGAATCAACTGGATCGACATGGTCAGTCAAGCCGCCGCCGCCGCAGCAACGTCCTTGTAAAGCAGTCTACTCACGAAATCACAGGGCATATTCTCCCAATACGGATTCGCAACAATGTCCACGGATACCGGGCACAGTTCTGCGCCGACTGACGGGAAATGGGGCCTGCACCAGCCAGAAAAGCTCATCAACTGGGGCCACCGAGCCATGCACGGCTCCGTCACGGCCACAAAGCAGATCGTCCAGTCCTACTACACCGGGGCCATACGATTCTCCTACTACGCCGGCTGCTCCACCGGCGGCCGCCAAGGCCTCCGAGAGATCCAGCTTCACCCCGACGCGTTCGACGGCGTCGTCGTCGGAGCGCCGGCCTGGTGGACGACACACCTCCAGCCATGGACCATGAAGCAGGGCCTGACCAACGCGCCGGCCAACAGCCCCCATCACATCCCCCCTCCCCTGTTCCGCATCATCGCAGACGAAATGACCCGGCAGTGCGACGCGCAAGACGGCCTGCGCGACGGCATCGTCAGCGACCCCGACGGCTGCAGCTTCGACTTCAACCGGCTCCTCTGCGCGGGCAACAAGACCGCCTGCCTGACCGCTGCCCAGATCGACACGGCCGAACGCCTCTACAGCAACTACCTCGACGCGAAGCAGGCGCTCGTGTTCCCGGGGATATCCCTCGGCGCCGACGCGGCCGCCCTCTCCGCGCAGCCGTCCACCCTGGGCATCGACTTCCTCCGCTACTGGGTGCACAACGACAGCGCCTGGGACTACACGGCCTTTGCGTACAGCGACGTGCTCCTCTCGGAGAGGGTCGACCCCGGGGCCGCGACCGCCGACGACTTCGACCTGTCCCCCTTCCAGAGCCGGGGCGGTAAGCTCATCCACTACCACGGTCTGGCGGATAACTTGATTCCCGCGCGGAGCAGCCGCTACTTCTACGACCGGGTGTACCGCGCCCTGACTCCGAGGGGCATCCGCGTCGGCGACTTTTACCGCCTCTTCTACGTGCCCGGCATGGAGCACTGCATGGGCTCGGCCGCGGCGCCGTGGTACATTGGCGGCGGGACGCAGAGCGTAACGGGGGCGAGCCACTCGGTCCCCGGGTTCGCGGATCCCGAGCACGACGTCATACTGGCCATTATGGCCTGGGTCGAGGGCGGCGCGGCGCCGGATAAGATTGTCGCTACTAAGTTCCGCAACGACTCGGTCTTTGCGGGGGTGGAATCGCAGCGGCCGCTGTGCGCGTGGCCCCTGCGAGCGGCGTACTTGGGGCGCGGGGGGGTAAAGGATGCGAGGAACTGGGAGTGCGTGGAGGCAGGAACGGACAGGGCGGAGCGCGGCGGCTCTGGCAGTATTTTTGGTAGACTTACAGGCGAGTCGGGTTGAACTGTTCCTTTGCAATGAGTGTCATTGGCTGAATGGTTTCTGACTGGTTCGTTTCTAGATACCTCTTGGCTGTGGCGCGAGAGCATCATCGTGGCTGTTTTGGGCGGCGTCGCGATTTTATGGTTGAGGCAGATCCGATGAAATTTGTGAATTATTTTAACCTGCCGGCTTATCCACATGCCCATGGGAAGAGACTGGAGCAGATTAGATTGACCTAGTGCGCAAGACAACTTGTGGAGCTGGAGGAAGAACCTCGGTGTCTAACCTTGGTGGACCGTAATTGATGCCCGATATCAACTCCATTCATGTTGTTGTATGCGTCAATTAATAGAGGAATCTCAAGCTTGCCCTTGAAATGGGACTCTTGCTGTCTTTACACTTGTATACGCCTTTGCCGGCCGATGATGAAGCTTCTCTTTAGGGGATTCCCAGCCATCGTAAGCCGCCGTGCTTAATAGAAGCACAAAGGCATTGTCCTTGAGGAGACGGCGGTCGAGGTAGCCTATTGACAAGGTCTGCGACAATGCCTTGAGTTGGCGCCAAATTCTGGTATTGGGATGCCTCGTACTCGACTGGCCCAATGACTTTGGAATGGAACGACCACCTGAGGAAGTAGCCTGAGTCGGCCGCCACCCAGATTTTATACCCGACCGGTATCGGCTTGCCTGGAGTATGGACAATAAATTTACTTCTACTATTATGCAAAAGAGCACTATTGCTTCGTCAATATGGATGTTTGAAGAGGGCGTCAAAGCCATCGTCAGGGTCTGCCCTGCTTTCAAGTTTCAGATGCTGTGGCCAATACCAGCGGTTATAAAATTAGTTGTGGGGTGATCGGCATTGCTAATTTGGGGCACCTCGATTTAATAGGCAATTCTATACAAAAATAAGTACTACGGACCGTTGAAGTACCGGCTCAGGGGAAAACCTTAATACCTACCCTAAATCCACCTAAATACATCTATTATATCCATTTTCAGATACAAATATAACAGATATTAGGTAGGCTGGGCGCTGAGAAGATGGATTTAATAGAGATTGGCCACTTATATGTGATCAATGTGGCTCAGCAGTGTAATGGTTCCGAGCCTTGCCGGCGGCTTCTTGCAGCCGGCCCATCCTGCAGCCTACGTGCTGGGTCGTAACATTGATGCGCTATTTAATCGTAGTTACCTGTTTTGTAGGTCTCCTCCAGATGATATGAAGATGAAGATGAGGGACTAAAAGCTAAGAAAACGACAGGTTTTTAAGCAAAATCCTTATAAGATAAACCACAAGTCTATATAATTCTGTGTAATTATGCTTATAATAAGTATAAGAAGTATCTCCTTTAAAAAAGTACCTTAATAGTTATGTAGATAATATAATAGCTATAGGAATTACTTGGCCTGCGGACTCTCAGCCTTTAGATGATTCTACCCCTTGCACCACCGCTCTAAAATACAAGGGGTGACGTAGTATTTTGGCTTAAATGCATTCAGATAGCTACAACTATTTACATTTAAAGTAATTTCGTAGAGAATTCCTTGACTATACAGCTGAAATGGATAAGATTTGCTGTCATAGACACATTGCACACATCAGACTGGTCCACAGCCTCGTGAGTAGCCCATCACACTCGCAAATTGCCCCAATTCCCTTGCCTGGAATTCTCAACATCTGTCGTCCTGCTGGCCACACGACGACTCCTGCCTGTCGTTGTTGTTGTTCACAAGCACGTTTGGGGAGCCACGAAGGTCACCTGTAATCTTATCCCTCGTTGCAGTAGTCTCGAGAAAGAAATCGACCAGACTGCTTTCTTGTGAGTGGACTGCCATGGCGTTCAAAACTATGGCGGCGACATGGGGTGCAGCCATTGAAGTGCCCGACATGATGGCAGTGGCAGAATCGCTCTTGTGTGAAAGGGAGAGAATATCCGCTCCTGGGGCAAAAATGTTGACATGAGGACCGTAGTTGGAATGGGACGCAATACTCCAATCTTGATTGATAGATCCAACCGTTATAGAGCCACTTGCAGAACTGGCTGATGCTGCACCAACGCTCTGGGCATTATTACCGGCGCTGGTGACGGTTAATATACCTCTATGATGGGCTCTCTCATAGGCAAGCTTCAACGCTGGCGATGAAGCCGATCCCATAGAACAGTTAATCACGGCAGTATTCTTGCGGCCCTTGTCCGCAATGTCGTTGGCAGCGTGGTTGAATCCTGCCAATATCTGGGAAGTGGTTGCATCGTTTTTGTCGTCGAAAACCTTGACAGATAGCACTCTAGCCTGCTTAGCCGCGCCGTAGGTCTTGGAGGCGATAATTCCAGCTACGTGAGTTCCGTGGCCGGTCCCGTCACTAAAGTCATCCTCCCCGGTAGCAGTCTTAACGGCAGTCCAAAGGTTTTCAGCACGGCCCTCGAACTCTTGATGCGTAGTTCGAATACCGGTGTCGACTACATACGCATAATACGTCTTTCCATTGGTCCACAAATCATAGTAATACTCGAAATTCCGAAACACAGTTACCGATGGAAGCTTGTGAGGGAATCGGTGAGAGATGGCTCGGAGGTTCCATGGTGCCCTGTTCTGAACTGTTGCCTTGGGTCCTTCTGGCGCTGCCAAGGCCAGCCCAAAAAGGACGGCGAGGGCCGTTGAGGTTTTCATCTAAGCAATATAGTAGGTGTTTGTGAAATCGATGGATAGAAATTGCCGGCTGAAGGCTAGGTGTTGACTGTAGCTGCTTTTGGGACTGTTCTTGTATCAGTTGGTTCGTCTTATATAAGAGAGAGAGCTCTGCTTGTGAAGAGATAACCCACTTTAGTCTTCTTTACATGACGCCTTTTTTTTTTGGACCTATATGAAATTAAGGGCTGTGTACTATTCATGCGCATTGTGCTAATATACGTAAGGCTGCCAGGAACAGGGGGGCAAGTATGGCATGATTCCGCATGAATCACTTTATATAAGAGAGCTGCGCATAAAAAGCTAAAACCCCCCTGTCTTCCATACTAGGAGATCTTCAAAGCGTGTCGTAGATAGGATCCTGAACACTTGGGGAATAAGCTCCAAGCAAGCCCGCTGTGGAGAATGATAAAACACGAGAAACCGTAGCGAGGAAAGAGAACAGATTGTAAAAGCAAAAGCTGGAGAACAAGGACTCAGGGGCTTTAATGAGGCAGAAGCTGAGCTTTAGACTGTACACATGCTATAGGTTTATAGTTGCCCTTTTTGGAGTTTCTCCAACGGGCGTAATAAATCTACTCTACTCTGTACACAGCCTTTGGTTGAATAAAAGAAATACCAAGTACAAAAAGAGAAAAGAAAGCTAATCTAAAAAGAGGAAAGTTTAACTAGAGATTAATATAGTTACTTATAATAGCCTACCTAGCTACTATCTAGTCACTATAACCTCTATTACACATTCATAGGCCTGTTTCTACCACAAGCCAGCTTTGACAGCAGCCCGTTACAGCAAAACATCCTAGAAGACGAGGGTTCATCCTCCTGTTTTTCTTTGTCTTGCTCAGCGTTGTTGTTGTTCCCTACCAAGTTTGGCGTCCTGTTGTTCTTGTCCTCCTTTTCAGGAGGAATACAAGCTTTGTCTTTTATAGCCGTCTCCAGAATATGTTTCTTTAAATTAGCGGCACCCTTGATACCATGAATAGATATCGCATTCAAGATAAGACCTGAGATATAAGGCGTAGCAAAAGAGGAACCAGTTTCCCGTATAATATTGGTATCGCTCCCTGCACCAGTAGTTTCCACTCCAACGCCAGGAGCTAGAATACTCACTGCTGATCCAAAATTTGATGTCTCAGAAATAGCCCATTGTTGGTTAATGTGGCCAACGCTAATTACTCCATCAGCAGATCCTGGAGAGTGGTTACTAGCATCGTCGGCCTCATTTCCGGCGGCAACAACTATCGGAACATCGGTCTCGATAATAAGTCTTTCCACAAAAGTATTTAGTGCCTGTAATTTTGGGATCCCAAAGGATAAATTAATAACTGACGAATCCTTGCGGGAATTCTTGAGTATATCCTCTGCAGCCCAGAGGAGTGCGTTGATTGCTTCACTGCCTGTGCAACCATCTGGTCCTAGTAAATGTATAGATATAAGAGTCGCCTTTTTTGCAACGCCGTAGGTCTTGCTACTAATAATTCCAGCAACTCCAGTACCATGATCCCCGTGGATAGTTTGATCAGCAGGATAGATACTATGAGCAGCCTTTGCGCGGCCCTCGAACTCTTCATGGGTGGTACGAATACCACTATCAAGAATATACGCGAACGTACCGGCGCCGGCCTTATCATCGTAGTAGTACTTGGAGCTTTCAGGAGGCGGAAATCCTTCATAAAAGTCTCCCGGACTTCGGTGAGATATAGCTCTTAGACCCCATGGGGCACTGGTCTGCGTTTGTAGAGATCTCTTTGCTAGCTTTACATGGTTTTTCAGTCCTAAAGCTAGTTCAAGAGGCGCGAGGGTATTGTCATTGATGACAGATTCAGGTTGGTCGATCTGCGACTCGACAACAGGTGCATGAGCCACTCGAGCTGAAGTCAGCCCAAAGAATAAAGCGAGAGTGATTGAGATGTGCATTTTATAAAGAAGGTTTTAATAAACTTGAGATAGTAATTACACGTTTTAAAATTGCACTTCCCACTGCAACCACGCTTATATACTTCTTCTATGTGCGTGTTGGATGCTGTTACACGAGAGCTCCTCGGAAATGACAGAATCCTTTTGGTCTTCATTTGCTTAATTAATTTGGAGTGCCGTTCCCTTTTCCGACCCTTCGGCATTGATAGCTGTGAACTCTTTATGCGCCTCGTCTCATCATGCGCAATGCTACTAGGACCGGGGGTAACCACTTCGGCCGCAAGTACCTGGCCCATCCCAGCCCAGCAACAGCCAGGTAGACCTTCTAAAGTCATAGATGCTGGGAATACGACAGGCGTGCGGTACAGTAGAGGGAGGACGCAACGAAATATTCGCAGGACAAGGAGTCAATAGGAATTAGCTAAGAGTGATGGCGAAGATCCAGATTGTATCGTTGTGAGGCAATAAATTAAGTAGACGTTTTTTGCCAGTATTGTGACAGTTACTGGCTGACAGTACTGTAAAAGAACGGTAGTTTAATCTGAAATACAAGCTTGCGAGATAGCAGAAGACTAATTACGCCCACAACGACAAGTGATACTGCAATTCATGGTGATGTAGGAGCTTGTTAGTGAAGTTGGCTACACAGTAGTAATTTTGGGTAGCTTTAGGTACCTACATAAGACCCAGCTTCTTATCTATAATAAGGTTATGTAGCCCACGAATAACCCCAGAAAAACTTAGATACCCACGGGTGCCCAGGGGTACCCGTGGTTACACCCTAGATATGAAACAGCACTGCTCCATACTAGCGTCCTAGTTATTAGCTTATATTGCAGGAGATTCTAGTTACAATGCGAGCTAAAAAGGTCAGGCCATCTGCCGAGCAATAAAAGTGAGAACAGTCAACTGCCGAGCAATAAAAGTAGGAACAGTCAACTGCCGAGCAATAAAAGTGGGAACAGTCAACTGGTCTTCTTTGTTAATAGTAGTCTGGTTATGTAGCATCAGGCTAGGATCATCCCTATCCGAACATCTACCACCCGACATTATGAGTGGTCTGTACATTAGCCGGCGACTTAAGCATAATAAAAGGCAGTGTTCAGATAGATTGGCAACCTCGAGCATAAGAGGCAGTGGTCTGATTGCTTGAAAAACTCGAGCAGGGAACACCTGGAACAATGTCAATAATATCACGACATCGTTAGAGCCAAGCAATAAACAAAAAAGGAATCTTAGCGTTAATTGACTTTTACGATAAGCTTTACGTACTAGCCAGCGCATGATAATGCCGCAACTAGGAAGCAATAGTGGCACCACAGCAAAGCTAGCATGAATGCATATTCGAGGACTATGGAGCATGTTTGACATTACACTGGGATGTAGGAACCTCAGTGGTTTCGTCACCAAGAAGTGGCCAGGCTGGTCAGGGCCTGGATGGTTTTGATATTGACTTCCGCTTTGGCTGTGTCTATAAAAGCTCACTTCCTAACACTCCAATCTATTTCTTTGACGCTTGTTGTTTTATCTATCAACAGTCTTTTCCAACCTTCAATTAGATTTACATCGAGCTTTAGAGAAACAGCACAATGAAATTTATGCATTGGTCGCTTGTGGCGTCTGCTCTGCTTCAAAGCGCAGCAGCAGCACCACAAGACACTGGGAAGGACGCTGGCGCGACCCAAGAAATGGGGTAAGAGAATCAGTCTACCTTGGCAGAATATTTGTTCACGCGGTCGCACAACTCTTGATGCTAACTGTTTTATATAGCCATATTGTGGTTCTCAAGCAAGGCTTAAAAGATGAGCATCTTGATAAGCATCTTGACTGGGTCAATGAAATACACAAGGGCAGCCTAAACAGCAGGGACGGCGGCAATGGCCAAGAAAAGGGTGTTAAACATACCTATCGCTCAGAATCTATTGGTTTTCACGGCTACTCGGGCAAATTCTCAGACGAAGTGCTCAAGCAGATTAAAGACCACGAGCACGTAAGCATTACATTACCTACCACTATCCGTATAGAGCCTGTCTGTGAAAAGCTAACTCGTTTTTTTAATCCAGGTTGACTTTGTGGAAGAGGATAAAAGGAATACCCTTGAGATTGATAAACGAGAGGAAGTCCAGGGCGACAAGCCAGACAAGGTCGACACTCCCCCTGAAAGTGTGGGCAACCAGAATAAAAACAATGGCGTTGGCCTCTTGACTAGAGGACAAGGGTAAGTGGCTCTTGAAATCATTCCTCGTCCAAAAGGGCGGAGATCCTAACTCGGAATCAGTTATAATACTTTCCTGGAAAAGGGAAGAATTGTTGACGCCGTCATCTGGCCTGAAAACAAGAAGAGAGCCGAGGCAGATGCACCGGCTGCAGGAGCCGGCAATGACGCGGCTCAAAATGAGATTGTTTTCGACTTTACGCCTCCCACCACCGACGTCGGCGACTTTGAGGGTGTCGATGCGGCAGAGTACTTTAAGACCCCCAAGCCCGACGAGGTTAAAAACCGTATTATTGAAGGATTGAAAAAGTTGAAGGAGGAGAGAAAGAAGCAGAGAGAGGAAAAGAAGAAGCTGCTTGAGTCCAACAACCTGCAGTCTCGCGCCGACGACCCAAACTGCCCAGGCACTCTACGCAAGGAGTATAAGTTTGTCGAAGACTACAAGTATGTAACTTCTATATCGAGGTTCGCAGTGGACTAACATGTACTGCAGCACGTACCTGCAGACTGTCGGCGTTAGCGGTAGCGCCGCTATCTCGGGTTGGGGCCAGAGTGCTTCTGTCCATGGTAACTACCTGAACCAGGCCAAGGTGAGTTGCCTAAAATTCCCAACTTATATAGTAGTAGTAAGGCTAATATTTAGTTATAGCTCAATAAGAACAGCTTAACATATGTGGCTGTTATCAATGTTGAGAGACAGTTGAGTCAACCTGGCGGATTCCAGTTTAACACGGCGAGATATAAGCCCGGAAGATTTGCCAAGGACTTTGGAGACCGCTGGATTCATGGTATGTTTTCCATTTATTATCTTGCGGCTTTTTAGCTTATTTACTAACCAAGGCAAAAAATAATCAGGCTTTAAGACTGGCGGCAAGATGGTTGCTCGAGTCACGTTTACTTTCAAGGATGACACAAAAGCAACGGACGTGAAAGCACAGTAAGTCTTACCGCGTTACAACTGACGAACAGTACTAATCTTTCTTCCCATTTAGTGCCGAGGCTGCGTTGAGCTTCTGGGGTGTTAAGGGTGACTTGAGCGTCGACGTTAAAAAGGGCATGGAAGAAGTCAACAAGCACACCAATGTTGATGTGTCCCTCATCTATGAGGGCGAGTTGGCTATCTTTATGGACGATAAGGAAGGGTCCCCCAAAAGCATTTCGTTTGGATCTGCAGAAGCAGTGCTTAGCCAGGTCAAGTCGTGGGCCGACAAGTTTGAGAGCTATGCCTGCAAGCACGACTATGCATACGGGTAAGACCAGATTTACCACTCGGGGCTGTGAGACCTGCTGACCGCTTTACTAGTCCCCTACTGGATGAATACGACGTGGTCCCAGGCTTCAGTGACCTGGAAGACAGCCCGGAGGCTCCTGATTATGACATTGCGCGTCTCTATGTAAGTTGCATCACGCAATTCACCCGCACACTCATACTAATCCGTGGTTTAAGGCTCTTGAGATTCTGGCCCTCATGGTCAAGATTGACGAGCAGAAGAATATCCTATCCTCTGGTAAGATTCCCACTTCAAGGTCATGACCGGGGCGTTTAAACGCTGATTCTTTTGCTACAGCCAAGGACCTCGACGACAAAAAGAAGCGTGAAGTCTCGGCTGCCGCCATCAAGATGGTCAGCGCAGGCAAGAAATGGGTATGTTGACAACTTTTTGCACCACAAAACACAATTGCGACTTGTGCTAATTTCTCCGGTGCCAGGTCAAAACGGCTGAGCAAGATCCGGGCAAGGCTGAAGAACAGGCCGAGGAACTCATGAATAATCTTAGCGCCAACTTCATCGACAAGTACAAGGGAGACGTGGCCAGCGCGCTAAAGGTCACTGACCCAGCCGGCTTTGCGAAATGCAAGAAGCTTGCGAACGACAAGTTTAGAGAGTGCAACCACACTCAAAAAGACAATCACGATGGTCGCGACGTAGTTGAATTTTGCCACAAGGAAGCCACCGATGCGCAAAATCAGTGCAGGGCTGGAACTCTCTAAGCATGAGGAGCAAAAGAAAACTAGTTAGTCACAACGTGAGCCTCAATATCAACTAGTTTTGATCGATTATTGCCACTATTGCCACTATTGCCACTGTCGTCTCGATATGTTCCCGTCTCTCGGCTAAAAACCTTCCGTATCCCCCTCGTGACAGCTTAGGACGACGAATGCCCCCTTATTACAGCGATAATAGAGCAACTTAAAGACTCGCCAGTGAAGGATAGACCAACAACAAGAAGATGACCTTCAAGCATGACAAGAAGCCCAACACAAGTAAGTTACATATTGCAACCTTCAAGGGTCAGCAATTGTGACAAGGGCTCGGAAAGAGGGCTTGGAGCAATTTATCTCAATTCAACTAATAACAGTCTTTGGTATCAAAGGTCCTTGGTTTTCCTCAAGGCCTTGAGGGACCAAAGCCGTCTATTTATACAAGAAGTCAGTGAGGGACTTTGCCCTAGGTCTCGTGACCGTAGCCCTTGTGTAACCTGCGATTTCCGTGTAACAGCAATGCTCTAGTTGTAATGTACATTGCTGCATGCTAAAGATGACTTGTCACGAATGAAACTAGACTGGGTAAAAGTGAAATGCCGCACTTCTGCAAGTGCTTGCTTCTTTTGACCCTTGTCGCCTCATGCTTGTGTCAGACTTGTATTCTTACTTGTTGAATCTTTGGTCGATCCTATCGCGTATACATATATGTGCCAAATTCACGCACCCCCGTGGTCTTGGATACAGGTTGCGTTGCCTTCCGATCCTTGAGACTTGTTGTAAAATGGGGAAATTCGCAGCAGTATGCAGTTGCTCGCTCGCGACGGGCGGCAGGGCTATTCGCCGTTACCACTTGCTGTGAAGAATTTACTCGGCAAGAATAGTCTCCTTCCATCGACTAACAAGACCGGCGCTACAGCGTTGATGGAGTGAAAGAATTGGCTGCGGATCGGTGATGAATACAAGGACTCTGTCCGCCTCTGTGAATGATGGTACATCAGGGCTGCAACCAAGGCCATGAGGAAGTCTATTGAGAGCTTATGTAAATTACGCAACACCACGCGCTAGTCTTTATAGTCACAACCTCTGCTTAACCCATGAATATGGAGTTTGTCCGGATCCTAGGCAGCTGGGGTCGCTCCGAGTATCTCATAAACCGCTTTGATATATGCTGCCGGGGAAGGATGTTCCCCGTTTAGCATCCTGTTCATGGTATACGCGATTGTGAGCCTCCTGTCGCTGTCCATAACCACAATCGAACCCCCCCATCCGCTTCCCCATCCAACACTGCCCCCCGGCAGCTTGCCTTCCACGATGCCCGACCCAGGCCCGGTGAGGTAAATCCCAAGCCCGCGCCTCCCGCTCCGCCCCGTCACCAGATCCACCCCCATCGCATGCTCCGTCAGCGCCAGCTTCACCGTCTCGGCCGACAGCAGGCGATGGTCTCCTTCCGCACACGTGCCACCGAGCGAGAAGCAGGAGAGCATCTTGACCAGCGCCCTGGCGTTTGTGTGGCCGTTGACCGAGCCCAGCGTGCTGGATCGCCAGAGCTCACCGTTGGCGTCCTCAGCCCTCGGCAAGGGGTTGCAAAGCGTGCGCACGACGATCGAGTCCGGCTCATATCCCGCCTGTTGGCTCAGCACCTCCTGGATCGAAGGTCCCGGCGGCGCCACGACGGGGGCCACCCGGTCCCAGTCCTCCTCGCGACACCCGAGCTGGAAGTCGGCCCCGTCGCCCAGCGGCCGGCAAATCTCCTCCGTCACGAACTTGGCCAGGGACATGCCCGTTTTCCTGCGCACCAGCTCCCCGACGAGAAACCCCTGCGTCATGCCGTGGTATCCCATGGCGGTGCCGGGAGCCCACAGCGTCGCCTGGCGCGCCAGCTTGTCGGTCGCCGCCTCGACGTCGCATACGTCCTCCAGCGTCATGTCGTCGTGCCACGCGCTGAGGCCGGCCGTGTGCGTCAGCACTTGGCCGACCGTGACCTCGGACTTGCCGTTTGCTGCGAACTCGGGCCAGTGCTGGGCCACCTTGTCCTCGGGGTGAAGCACGCCGCGCGAGATGAGCATGAGCGCTGCGAGGTTGGTGACTAGTTTCGTGGTCGAGAAGACGTTTACTATGGTATTCTTTTCCCATGGTTTCTTGGTCGATGCGTCGGCGTAGCCGCCCCATATATCTACCACGTTCTTGTCACCGTTGATGTTAATGCATAGACTGGCGCCAATGTCTTGTCCGGACGTGATTGACTCTTGCATCAAGTCGCGAAGCTTGGAGAACCGGGCGTCGCAGTAGCCTTGGACCTGGGCCATTTTGATGGATGTTATGTCGGTGGTGGCGATTGACTAGTACAAGGAATGGAGCTCGAATGTAAAGGGGAGAAAGAGGAGATTTCTACAGGTTGTGTTGCAACGAATAATGTTCAAAGCAAAGACTTGGTTATGCCTGTCATAATAAGTTATACCCATGTCAAGACCTGTCATAAAGTACTCGTGCCACGCCCCACTCGAATCGGTTAAATCGGGACCGTCCATCGTGATGTGGCTCGGGCAAAAGGTTAATAGGACGTTGACTGAACATGAACGACACTGCATTAAGCCTCACATGGCGTAATTATAGACGGTCTCACTGCATGCAGTAGCTGCATGTATAACATCACGCGGATAAGACCTGCATATTTTGCAATGCTGTTTAATCAGAGTTCAAGAGATTCATTGCTATGTGAGCACTGTACTTGCTGTGTTCAAAAGCCGGTCGCTTTGTTCATCGTCGACCAGCCAGCCTGCTTTGACAGAGCCTTGGATTTGCCCATGCCACATGAGCGTCATGCGACAAGATTCCTTTCACCACGCACAGGTTCACGGACCAAGTTTCAGAAAATGTGCATATGACTCTTCCCCTTGCTTGCTTACAGCCAGACTGACCAATGATTTCTCAAATCCACCACGCCTCGGCATCTTTGTGATATCTTGTAAATATTGTCTGTGGCGGTTGGCTACTGAACATCCACCACCATCATTCTGAACACTGCCCTGAACACGACCGCTTGTCGTTCACAGTCTGCAATGAAAGTAGCGCAAGGGGTCCCCAGCTGTAGAGCTCGGTGCGATCCGTTTATATAAAGAGCTCGCTTTCCCCGGATCCTCTGCCAGATTTTCCTCATCGACAGCCACCTCTTCGACCAACAACCGGTCCTCTCCCCCCTCGACACTTGCATTATATGCATACCTCGAGACTTCAAAGACTTCGCAAAGAGAAACACTTCGCAAAGAGAAAATTCTCGTACAACGCTTCTTCAAGAGTCGAGATATTTTGTCTTGATCTCTTCGACCAACAACCCGTCCTCTCCCCCCTCGAAACTTGCATTATTCGCATACCTCGAAACTTCAAACACTTTGAAAAGAGCAAATCAACACCTCTTCTACCAACGAGCCACCCATTCAACCATTTGCAGCAACATACACGCTTCAAAGACTAGCACTACGTTTCTTCGAGCACGGGCATATCTCTTTACCTCTAAGATCCTCCGCGATTCAAGTTGGTCCACCACCAGTGCAGCAGACTCTTAGAGCCACAATGAATTCCGGCAACGATATCTCCGAAGAACATCCTCTAGTTCAGGAGGTGAATCGCTTAATGTGGGAGATCCAGCACCTGATAGCTGATGCCAACCAGGCTTGTGCCCAGTTGCTAGAGCTTGAGAGAATATCTGCATACTCCACGCAGCAAATTGCATTGCTTATGGAAAATCAGCTTGATCCAATTTTCCGAGAACTAAGTTCTCGCCATGTCGCACTTCAGGAATTGATTCTACGTCTTGAGCAATTGACAACGAATTCCACCAGTTGACAGAAGAAGGAATGTGTTCGAGGGTTCTTGCGATAGGCAGTGTTATTCGCCTGTGGATTTTGAGATGATGGTCGGTTATCGCTTTCAGTTGCTTGGAGGAAAATCATTTGTCAAATGGAAAGGGCGGATATGGGGGATGAAAAGGGAAAAAAAGAAAAGAAAAGTATGGTACTTTTCAGTCTTGATTTGAAATACACGGATATCTGCGCCCGATCAATCGTCTTGCTTTATTAAATCTTAAACAGTCCCAGTTTCAACGTCAAGTGCCCAACAGTGCTCTCCTCTTCCAAGATGATCTCCTTACTCCCGGCGTCATCTGACATCTTTTCTAGCATGCCACGCAGAGCACTTTGAAATAGATCCCTTCTGGACGAAATCACCGCATCAACATCCACTGCTTCAGGATTAGAAACGACAGTATATCCCATATGGATATCATCGGTTGGGACTAGGCCAGCCTTCTTCCGTAGCCTCTGAATACGGTTAATAAGTTCTCGCGTGAAGCCCTCGTTTAGTAGTTCTGCATGTGGTGCTGTATCAAGCAATATCACGGCATCGTCCGCGAATGCTGGTTCCCATTGAGGACCAGACCCGACCGCAGTAGCTGTTGAATCTTTGGCCATTATTCTCACAATGGCCAGGTCGTTTTCGTCAAGTTCAATGTTCTGGATAGTTATCTTTTTCTCCCGCTGATATGAGCGCAGTTCGGTTTGCGATAGCGATGGGAGTGCCATTCGAACAATCTGTACATCCTTCTTGAGCTTCTTACCGAGAGTCGGCCAATCCACCCTTGCTTCAAGTGAAATCCCATATTTCTCTTCATCGTTAGTCAAGATTACATCTCGGACATTGAGCTCCTCTCGGATGTAGTCCTTCAAGGAGTCAACGTCGGATATGAATTGGCTGGCGCCAATCACGATGAGGCTCAACAACGGAGTCTTGAGAGTTATGTTCCTTTTTTCGCGGGCAACACGACCCAGTTGTATAACCTTTTGCAGTGCCTCCATCTTTCTTTCGATAAGTTGATCGAATAATTCCTCTTGAGCCGTGGGAAAAGGTAGAAAATGCACGCTTCTTGTGTCTCTAAATGATGCAAGAACGTCGCCAAGGAACGGCCTTAAAAGGCCATATATATGTTCCGTAATAAACGGAATAAAGGGAGCTAGGGCTGTGACCAGTGTAAATAGGACCTGTAGTAGAGTATTCAGAGCGGCGGTAGTGTCAGCTTCCCCAAGGCCAGCAGCTCCCTTGAGTCGCTTCCGATTGAATCGAATGTACCAGTTCGTCAAGTCATCAATCATTTTTAACAACCGTGGAACTACTGTGTATACTCGGTATCCTGTCAAGGGTTAGCATCGGAGATTCATGTGATGCAAGGACAAACGCACCGCGCATCTCCTGCTCGATAAATTGAAGCAGACTTTGACACTCGGCTAAGACCCAGCGGTCCATGACGTTGTTCAAGCCACCAGTAGAAAACGTGATATCAGCCACGAAATCTTGACCAGTTGTCTTCTTATACAGCGCTGCTTGTTCCGAGAAGAAGCGATAACTATTCCATAAGGGAAGCAAAACCTTTGACACAATCTCTTTGACGCCACTCTCCTTGAAGCGAAGTGGCTCTGCTTTTACAACAGGCGAGTTAATAAGGTATAACCTCAGAGCGTCAGATCCATATCTCTCAAATATATGACTTGGGTCTGGGAAGTTCTTTAAGCTTTTAGACATCTTCTTCCCGTCTTCGGCAAGAACCATGCCATTGACAAGAACATTCCTGAAAGGTGATTTCCCAAAAAGTTTATTGCCAAGCACCGTGAGAGTATAGAACCATCCTCGTGTCTGGTCCAGCCCCTCGGCAATAAAATCAGCAGGGAAATGCCCTCCGTGAAACTCGTCGTGGTTCTCGAATGGATAATGAATGGACGCGTACGGCATGGCACCAGATTCGAACCTCGGCTTGTTAACCCAGAAAACATCGATAGGCTTATTTCAAACACTTACCAGCAGTCAAAAATTTCTTCAACGCGCCTCAAAACGCCCTTGCCTTTCTGAGAAGGTATAGTGATGTGATCAATCTTGTCCCGATGCAAATCATTAATCTCGCCAGTGTGGCCGCTCAACCGTCTCAACTCGGCCACGCTGCCAACACAGACAACCTCTTCGTAGTCGTCGCTTACCCAAAGTGGTATGGGAGTACCCCAGTATCGGTTGCGAGAAATATTCCAATCGCGGGCATTGGCGATCCAATTCGCAAATCGCTTCTCCTTGACAAACGCAGGTGTCCAGCTTGTCGTGTCTTGCAGGTTTTCCATCATTTGGGGTATAGAGTTTTCAACCTTGATAAACCACGACGACACAGCTTTTCTGATAAGCTGCGTGTCTGACCGCCAGCAAAACTTGTCAACATGCATAATGTGGCTTTCAACAAGAAGGCGGCCGGTAGGCCTCAAGTCCTTCATAATAGCTTTATCCGCAACTTTGACATGGATACCTACATATTCGGGTATTTCAGCAGTAAAACAGCCCTTGTCGTCTACCGGACAAGGAGGCAGGCGACTTGGACCGATAAACCCAGCCGCAAGAGCGGCGTCGTAATCTTCTTGGCCAAATGCAGGTGCCTGATGTACCAGACCTGTTCCTTCACCAGCTTCAACATAGTCGGCGGCAATAACTTGAAAGCAATCGGAAAATGCTGTGGCGAAGTAATTGAAGAGAGGTTTGTACTTCCATCCGACTAGCTCTTTGCCTCTGAGACGTCGGACGACCGTGTACTTGGCCTTCTTGGGGTCTTTGTAGAGCATGCTCAGACCACTCTCCATAGTGATGTACTGGTTGCCACTCTGTTGGTCAAGTATTTCCAAGTATTCGAAGTCGGGGTGCACTGCAATGAGCAAATTCGAAGGCAGGGTCCAGGGAGTGGTTGTGTACACGACGAGAGAAGTGCTTTCCTTGCCGTGGACGCCAACTAACGGAAAGGAAACCAGTATGGCGGGATCCTGTGTCATCTTTTCGTTTTCCTTGGCCTCCATAAGACTGAGTGGTGTGCAGAGGGCGGTGGAATATGGCATGATGCGATATGCTCGATATACTTGGTCTTTATCGAAGAGCTGCTTGAACACCCACCATACTGTCTCCATGAATGACGGATCCATGGCCTTGGGACAGTTAGCACAGCACGTGCTGCTTTGTCGGAATGCCAACGCACCTTGTAATCATTGTCCATGTCTACCCAGCGACCAAGTCGTTCCATGATCTGCTTCCAATCCTGGGCATATGTCATGACAATGGCCTTGCACTCGGCATTGTACTTCTCTATGCCCATTTGGCGAACTGCATCGGGACCAGAGATACCAAACTTCTTGTCGATTTGGTATTCAATCGGAACGCCATGCGTGTCCCAGCCGAACCGTCGCACCACGTGGTATCCCTTCATGGACCAGTATCTCGGAATAATGTCTTTCAA